TGTGTGTGTGTGTGTGTGTGTGTGTGTGTGTGTGTGTGTGTGTGTAAACTCAAACAGTGAAAACAACACAAAGTAATAATGAAAAATCAGCACAGTGTTTTTGAAGATAATAGCCTTGTTGTCTGAAATACCTACGGACACATTCTTTGTTTGATGGCTGTTACAGAGAAAAGTTATTGATCAGTTTCCTTCTGATCGCCTGGCTTTTTGGTTTGCAGTTTGAAAACTTACTGTGGAATCGTGTTGAGTAGTTTCCATATTTGTTGCCTGTTTGAAAATTGCTATTGTAGCAGGGAGGAAAAGAGGTTACCAGCAGAGCTGAAGAGATCAAGGGGTTCAGTACAGGCTGCACAGCATAAAGACACCCGGGCTTTCATTGCTGAGAATTGTGACCGAACATGTTGACGATAGAACAGTGGGAAGCTCTTTGGAAAATCGGCTTTGATCACTCCTTCAAAATGAATAAATAAGGCAGGTGGGGGAGAGGAAACTCCATGGCAAAGTGGCAGCCAGGTTTCGATTTCAGCTCGCACGTCTCTGCTGGAGTTGTCTCCACCTCAGGGGGCATGAGAGAATCATTCACTGATTTATATGGTGCACGGGGAGATGTTGACTTGTCTGTAATTTGTGATGAAGCAGAGAGCGGATGACAAAACCTGATAACATCAATGTCTGTGCTGTGCCACACAACAACTATTTAATGAACATACCGACAGAGGGGGGGGGGGCGGTTCTTTGTAACTTAATTTTGTAACACAACAAACAAGAAGCTGATGCTGGTAACAAACCAAGAGTCTTTAACCGTGCTGGCAGCTCTGTGAGGCTGCACAGCGGTGCTTTGAACTAGTGTTGCTGTCACCTTGAGATGTCACCATCAGCTGAACATTAAAACTCTGGGGATCACTGAAGATGTTGGAAGACATTGGCCGCAAATCGTTATCGTCCATATGAGATGTAGATGCTGTGTTTCGTTGAATATAAGAGTAATTCTCCCTGATGAGGGGATCACCGACGTCTGATCGCTTATCCTCTGTAGAGCGTAGATCTGGAGGTATTCACCAAAGGTACGAGCTCTGAATATCAATACTGAGGCAGTTGCTTATAGCAGCGGAGCTCCCCTCTCTGGAGAACTGCTGTCAGCTCACCTTAAAGTTCTTTCATGATAAAATTCTGCAAACTTGCCATTAAAACCACAGAATATGGTCTGATGTTATCATAATCTCAAAGATTGAGGTGCTGCTCAGTTAGTAACCCTGTCGAGGTTAAAGAATATATTGAGCAATGGCTATGAATGTTAAATAAAAGATTAATGTAGGCACTATGATGTTGAAGTGAAGCCCTGCTTTCAAGCTTTGAATGTTCTGCATGTATGTATGTATACTGCGTATATAACAAAGAGCATCCATACTGTATGGGTGGATCCCACAGGCAAAAATTTGTCTGATAATTGCATCACAAAATGTGTAAAAATCTTTTTAGAGCATTTTTACTCATTCAAGTTTGCTGACTTGAAAGGAGGTGATGCAGTGCAGACAGCTAGTGGCCACTTATCTATAAAAGTGGCCTTGCACTTTATGGTGAAAGCATTATTAAAGTTTAGTGGGTGAGTTTGAAGAAAATCCCCTGTGTAGTTGTCACAAAGGGCTAAAACAACTATAGAAAGAAATGTTGTTGTTTGTAAAGAGCTATTATTTCTGCTGTAATATTTCAAACTGTGGTTTTTGGCGGTTCCTGCATCTTATGTTTACTTCTAGACAGATGTTGTCATCAGGAAAAACTCATTTAAAGATGCTCAACCTCATTGTGGTCCAAGCAGCACAGCGGTATGATGGTTAGCAATGTTGATGATGGTCAAAACCACTGGCCAGCTAGGGTCTTTCTGTGTGGGGTGGTTGTATGGATTCACTCCAGGGACTCCTGGCTCACTCCCACAATCCAAAAGCATGCATTGGTTAGGTTAACTGGCACTTCTATTCAGTATTAGCCCTGCAATAGATTGGTGACCTGTCCAGGGTGCACTCTGCCTGCGCTGGATGAAGATGGATGGACAGAACGCGGTGGTCATAGAGGAAAGGTCAGGGAAACACTGTCAGAGGTCTCTTCCTGTTTAATAGGGAGTTCTTCCTTCCCACAGTCACGAAGCGGGGCATTGAGGCTTTCTCTCTAATACTGCAGGTTAATTACCTTTCAATACAAAGACAACCTTTGTCGTCAACTGGCGCTATATAACCAAAACTTGGTTGAACTCCAGGCTTTATCTTCTTTTGACAATGTCTCTACAAACTCTTATACAATTCAACCTGTAGCTGCTATAACCTGTAGTGTGTACATAATCCAGTTAATGATCTGCATGAACAAGCATGCACTACAACAAAAACAGCAAAAAAACACCCCCAAAAACCTTCAAAGGAAGAAAGTCCAGCTGGTTCCTTTTGCTTCCATCCTATTGGGCTTTTTACAGGGAACATGTAATGTTATACTAATAGAAGTATGGATATGCAATAGATTTCAGCAAGGAGTTAATTTTGAGTGTGAATAATTATGACTGATGGTGACTCATAGTACTACTAATAAAACTGAAGTCAGTTTATCACAGTTTATCATCTATCACTAGATGGGCTATAATAATCCAGGTGCTAGACCGCATCATTTAAAAGGTAGCCCAAGACACATTTCTCATCAGACCTCTCAGTTGGCTCCTAACTGTGGTTAACCTCATCCTACAGAACACTGGAGCGCTCTGAATGGTCTTCTAGGTGTTCTAGTTCCCACTGGGTCTGGCTTCTTTGCTGGGACTAAAGAGACCCAATGGCTTCTACTTATCTGTAATAAACCTTCTTTTAGTTTATCGTGAAAATAGGGAGAGAAAAAACACCTTTCCTCCAAACACAAAGTCATTATCACTGTCTTTTCCCCTTATATTCCCTGGGCCTACACTTCTGTTGACTGTTACATGTGTACTTTACACAGTTTCTCATTTAGCTGCATCTCACTAATTTGGGCTATATTTGTCACATTCAGCTCAGGGAGACCACGTCAGTGGGATTATATGCCTACAACGGAACATAGTGATGGCCATGTTCTCTGCCTAAAGACACTGGCACTGGTGGCTTTTCATGTCAAATGTTTTTATGTCCATGTTGCAGTAAGTGTTCTCCTCCAGAAATTAATTTGCTGCATCCTGTAAATGGGAAAGGCACCTTGTCAAATGTTAAAGACCAGTATAATAAGCTGCACTGTGAGCAGCTGATATACTCCGGTGCAATATGTTTGTCCTTTTTTTTTTCTGAGTGTCTAAATTATGATGGTTTAAATGCATCTACCATAAAGCACCCTCAAAAAACCCTCAAGGGAAAAAGGGGTCAATTACATGGTTGTTATTTTCAGCTAAGTACAGCAGCGTTCGGCAGTGTGCTGCATCATTTAGTTTCACTGTCAGCTGTAAATGTGGCTCTTTGGATTATACGATTGCTAGCAGAAAGAGGTGTGGAAGCCACGAACACTACCTTTAGCTTACGCTGTGACACTGAGACACATACTGATGAGCGAGTGAACATGACTTTACATTTTACCATTTAAAAAAACTTTAATTGGGGCAATAAATGACAGTATGTTGCATTGTAAAGGGAGTGTTTTCAGGACACAGCCATAACTCTACAGTGGCAGCAATAACATGATGATTAGTAAGTCTCAGTCCTTAATCTCAATTTACTGCAGACTGAAAAATATCAAAGTACTCGAGCCTTACTGTTTTTCTAAAGTCGTAATAGAGTGATTTAGAGGTTTTGGACAACATGTTTTTTAATTTTAGAGCAGCTTTGCCCATCAATTTTCCAGTGCAAATGAAAACTCCTGCTGGCTGAATTTTTCAGCTTGTCAATTGGATGGTTAAAAATAATGGTCTCTGATGTGTTTGGTGAGCGCCTGACTTTTGCATAGAACTACCACGCTGTTGCCTTTCTGTTTGTTCTTTTCAAAAGCTGTGAAAGCGCAATATCCAGCATGGAATCTGCTCATCTGGCTCTCTTTGATTGGACATTTGCCCCATAAATAATAACAAATATAATGTCACCCTGTAGCGATTCCAAGTTTCCTCTTAATTCATTTCCTGCCCAGTAGTTGTCAGTGCTTTGCCCTCAGTTGCTAACAAATGAGATCCTTCCATCTAATTTTGTGGATGTGGCTGCACATTGCAGCTACATGAGCTACTCACACAGATAATCTTACAGAGTGCATAAGATATGCAAAAAACATCATGTTTCTGGTCCACTAGCTATGAATATCTAAACGGTGTTTTTTTTTTTTTTTTTTTTTTTTTTACATTTTTCTATCAGCGCCATTAAAAAAACAGTGCTAATGGTTTAAAATGTAAATAAACGGAGGCTGTCATTTTGCAGCTATTCTTGTCAGTGCCAGTTGGTGCTGGCCAGGTGTACGGCTGTGACAGTCCTTGGACAGGAGGTCTCATCCTTCTGTCCCTGCTGCTCTGCTTACCAGCTATTTGTTTTCATGCCACGTTTGGGCTCTGCTGCTGGCATGTTTGCTGCTGAAAGTCTCAAAACAATTTGCATAGAAATATGCATAATGTCTGAGCCTCAAGAATGAGCTCTGGCTTCTTTAAATGGCACAGTGGAATGTTTTCTTAAATAATGCACACGTTCAGTTTTCAGATTCATGCAGTTGCTTGTTATTTGTGTAATACTTCACACAAATGGGGGGATTAAAGTGTTTTTCACTGATGTGTGGTGGATGGCTTGCTCTGGCCTGCTCCTCAAAGGGATATTTACACAAGGCTGTGGGGATGTAATAGTGCACTATCCTCCAGTGCCATTGGGGGTGTCTTCCTCTGGTTCTGCTGTTTGGTGAAACTCATAAACTTTTCTGCACACATACACACAGATGATTGCAGCAACCTCAAATCTGATGTCTGCAGTAGCTCAGAAACTTTCCTCCCAAGTCTGCAAACATCATTTCCACGTGCTCATCATGTGTCACGCTCTCCTCTCCTATGGCATCCCCTTTCAGTTTGCATTACCGGCCTGCACGTGGCCTTTCTGCCTGTCGACTCTCATCTCTCTCCTCATTTCCTCTGAGATTCCAGCAATCTGCAGACTGCCTCTGTCTGTGGTCTCCTACCCCGAGGTAAATCTCTGCTACCAGAGACAATTAAAGAAAGCTCAGCACAGTCAGCAGAAGAGCGGCCAAGAGGAGGCCCCGCTGAAGGAGAGGGAAGGACCAAGTGTCTATCTGGCTGCAGAGAAGAAGAATTTGTCCTTAACATTTACCTTTGTGAGCATTTATATTGTAGGAATGGAATGGTGATGGAATGGCTGGCGCCCCCCCCCCCCCCCCCACCTGCCGCGCCCCTTTAAATAACCTATATTTGTTATATAATTTGGCATTGTGCATGGTGCAAATTATTGAATTTTCTAAACACAGCAAATATTTTCTTCTTCAAGTATTTTAATTCTTGCCTGAAGAGGGCAGTACATTCCAATAAAAGGGTGTAACAACAGTGGATGTAAATCTAATCATACTGAGAGCTTTACACAAGTATATAATGGACCTCTGTGTGTGTGTGTGTGTGTGTGTGTGTGTGTGTGTCTGTGTGTGTGTGTGTGTGTGTGTGTGTGTGTGTGTGTGTGTGTGTGTTTTTGCTGTAGCATATTTTATTAAGCTTCACTTTGCAAACCATAACATTTGTCGTGCTGATTAGTTATGACTGCAGAGCAAAAAAATTAGGGGGGGCTGGGCAGTCTTTCCTCGACAGCACAGTAGTGGCTGTTGGTAGAGGATATGTAGGGAAAATGCAGAAGTGTTTTCAGCTGTGCAAAAAATGAGCTGCAGGGGAGATTTCATAACCCCCCCACCCCCACCCCCAGCAGAGAAGCAAAAATAAAAACACCTCCCTCACTGCCAGACATAATCCATCTCTGCCTTCTGTACTCCGCAATCTGTCTTAATGTTTTCTCTTATCATTTCCTCCCCATCTCTCTGATAAATTTTATAAGCCGCTTTCTTACTTCTTCCCTTTCTGCCCTTTTCTCTCTTTTTGCTCATCTCTGTTCAGACATCATCTGTCCTCATCTAGCTTTCTGTCCTCCACCAAAATGATTTTTCTATCTGGGTCACGGTCTGTATCTTTGTGTGCATTTCTGCCTGTATCTTTCTGTGTCCTTATTGCCATCTGTCTGTCTCTATCTGCTGCACTTGAAGGCGGATGGCTATAGTCTAGCCAGAACGACACATACGAGCCAGTCACACACCCAGACATGTGTGGGAGCTGCAGTCGGGGGGTAGGTGCGAGACGGGAGAAGGCGACAGAGTCGCAAATGAGAATGTCTCATTACTTTGCCTGGTGATAAAATATGGCTTGTTATGACTGTCTTTTTTTAAACTTAATATCTGATATGCATTCCCTAATTCTGCCCTCATTTGAACACAATACTCAAAAAGATCTCTGCTTAAACTCTTGGTGCATTACGTTAGATAAGGAAACTTTCCCCAGCGGCCTGTAAGTACACCAGACCTCAGACAATAGATTTTTTTCGGTGGCCTTTTCAAGCAATGTCGATTCATCCGGTGACATTTGAAGGACAGGGTGGCGGTGTCATGATGTGAGATGAGGTTGGCGTCGCTTCCTCCCGTGTGCTCTCAGCAGTATGATTCACCTTTCTGCATCCCCTGCAGGCATCACCCAATACTCCCACAAAAATGAGACAGGGCTGAAGCATTAGCAAACAGTCGCCGTGCTGTGAAAAAAGAAAGAAAGAAAGAAATGAGTGAAAATAAAAAGTATTTGGCCACATCTCTCTCTACCAGCTGTCTACTATGCTGTCAGATAAGAATAGCATGTCTGGTACAGAAATGTAGGCCAAAGTCTTCCATAACTGTAGTTACATTATCCACTTGTACTTGTTTGGTACAAATACTGATGGTATCAGTTAAATATGCTGCATTTTTCCTGCTCTTTTAAGGGTGTTTTATTGAGCAGTGTTGCAGTTGATCTGCACGGCCTCGTTATATAATTATTAACCTCTCTCTAAATAAGCTTGCATTCTTTATATACAGGAAAAGCTGTACAACTTTGAAAATAAAACTGCAGAAAATGCAGTTAAAGGTAAAAAAATCTTGCACTCCATGGAGAAGATGCAACAGTATGCCACAGCTGTTAAATACATCAAGATGTACAACTAGAATATTACTCTTACGTGGGCAGGGCTCTAATAACATAGACATTAAGGCACACAAAACGGGGGGGGGGCACACAAAAAGTGGAGGTGGTGTGACTGCCAATCCAAACTGCCAGGGATCTGTTTGTGAAGTCCAATATCAGTTGTTTGGTTGCCTGCCCATCAGTTTGTGGTGGGTGGGGGGGGTGTCGGCTCAGGGTTCAGTGGGTTCAGTGTCTGCTTTTGTTTCATCACCTTGTTTTGAACTGAAAGCATCGTTATGAGTCGGCTGGTATTATGCTTTTGGAGGACAGAGTGTGTCTGCCATAAAGATGGTTTCTTAAGTAGTAGTGATTTACACCCACAACCCTCCTGTTCCTTTGCTCATTAGTGTCTAATCAGGCAAATCACATGGATTTGGGCTAGTCTGAACATTTTAGAAATTGCTAATCTCTTGTGATTTTTCCCTAACAATTATGTCTATCATTCACAAAGAATGGCCACAAAAAAAACAACATATCATGCATCAGTTCTCTGGGTGAAAATGTCTCCTTGATGCCAGAAATCAGAGAAGGGTGGGCAAGACTGCTTCAGACTGACAGCATAATAGACAGCTGGTAGAGCGAGAAGCGGCTAAGATCGATAGGAAGGCAACAACATGTTAAATAAGCGCTTGTGGTTCAGGTGACGGCAATGTAGTTGTGTGGAGGATTGTTATGACCCAAGTCATCATTGTACGTACTCTGTCCGCTCCTCCACACCTGGGGGTGGCGTTGTTCATTGTTTCTGTTGTGTTTTGATTATGTAAGCTCCAGGCGACAGCTGACCATTGGTTGGAGACTGAATGGTACTCGCTATAAATTGGTACCTGTCAGCACTGGCTGGGCACTGCCTACTTCCTGTTTCCAACAAGGCTGGGCTGTGTGTATAATTGCATAGTGTTGTGTGACCGAGAGTTCTGTGTCTAGAACAGCTTGATCTTTTTATGTACACTGTAAATATTGTAAATATCCTTCGTTAAAATAATGCACCTGGTAGATGCAGGGGTGGGAAGTCTTTTTCTTTTAATACATTTTCTCTTGTTTAGGTTACGTTAGTTGTGTTCCCTTTACCTAATGTTTTGTTGGTTTTTCTGGATGTGCTCACCCTGACATTTTCTACCGCTATAGAAAAAAATAAACTATTGTGTTTGGGCCTGCAGACCTTGCTGTAGTACTGATCCTTCCTTGGAAAGAGGGAGCATAACAGGGACATTTTCCTGACTCACTGTGGGCACCAGATGACAATTTTTCAAACTTCACAGCCTGCATGAGTATTGTTGCTGATCATGTCCATCCCTTTATAACCTCAGCACAGTACACACATCTTCTGATGGATGCTTCTGACAGAATAACACACCTAGTCATAAACTGGATTCTTGAACATAATGAGTTCACTGTATTCAAATTGCCTCCACCATCACCAGATCTCAATCTAACAGAGCACGTTTGGAGAATTTTGGAACATTTGCATCATCGACAAATCTGCAGAAAATGTGTGATGGTATAATGTTGAAGAGTGTTTCTGGCATATTGTTGAATCTGTGCCTGAAAGAATTAAAGTGGTGTACCTAATGAGGTTTGCAGTGAGCTTATGGAAGCTCATGAAGTAATAGTAATTGATAGTATGAAATAGGTAGTTTAACCACTGCTTTAGTCTACTCAGACATGTTATATATAATTTAAAGTTAACTTCATGTATTTGATTCCAAACAATAAAAAGTAGTACAGTATGTACTACTGCAGGGGGGGAGAAAAACAGCAGCCTGGACAGAGGAAGACGAGAGTGAACACTCAGTACAGCTACTACAAAACACGCGAACAACACCACAAAGAACACCAGGCTCCGTGTAAGCTGTCCGCCTTCTCACCACCTAACAATAACAGTGTTACTGCTGCTTGGTTCTTTAATTAGCATTATTTTCTCCGAGACTGACAGGCACCTTTGAATGTGTCTCTGTGAGAGAGACACAGAGTGTGAATGTGCGACAAACAGGACCAAACACACTGACTGTTCCCGTGGGCAGGAGTTATGAATGCTGGCTGTTCTGATTCACTCTCTCCTGCTCAGTCTGTGAATAGTATGGATGAGCTGCTATCTGTTGCATGACGCTCCTGGCTCAACATGTTCGAACCAAATTTGTCTGCTGCTTCCTGTGAGACGAAGGGAGAATCCTGAGGAAATTCCATCCTCCATTGGATGCCTGAAGCATCACGGAGGAGGAAGCACTGCCATGTATGTACGCTCCCTGTGACACCGACTCCATATCCATGACTGCAGTCTGCTCTGTGTGTGTCGTAATCTCATAGTATGTGTAGTACGATCCCAAAATAGAAACGCTAATTTGTTTTTTCTTCAATGGGAGTAAAAAAAAAACTAAAAACAGATGACTTGCTGAATTTCATCAAAAGAGTGGCCTTTGTGTAGTAATCAGCACATGTCATCATGTGAATCATTCATCCAGGACCAGTAGAAGAGGGGCAGTCACTTCCTACCACAGATTTATGCTTAATGTAGTCATTACAACCAAAAATTGACTTCTAGGTGCTCAGTGGCACAGATACACAGAGAAAATGCCAGTATGTCAGCCATAATGACATTTTTCAAAAGCAGCAGATTTGGCTACCTCTGATTCTGGATCATCCCAGCACCATTGTCTAGTTTAGTATCCACGTTTTGCCACGATGTAACACATATTCATCACAGCCTACTATTATTACTATTCTCTGACACTAGGAATAAGTTCAAATATGAGAACATGACCCGTTTGTCTGTTTGTTGGCAGTTACTAAATCCTCGTCTTATGCTATGTTCCATTTACATGCTTATTAGAAAGCCACATCCTTCACTCAGACTAACTCAGATAACATGCTGTAAAGATACAAGACAAAAACTGAGGATTCGTGACTGTCAATCCAAACTGTCTCGAGTGTGTCACATGAGCCCAGACTGCCAAGTTGGACGGTTTCTCGGGGGGGGGGGGTAAGTGTTGTTTTCACTGTGTGTGAAGACTGAATGGGGGGTGTGGAGGGGGGCTGCTGTGGAGATGGCACGCTTTGTGTTTTTATAGTTTTGGGGATTTTTTGCTTTAGTTTTTTTTGGCTGTGAATG